TTGCAATATGTTTTGATTTTTAATAAATCATAACTAATAATAATTTATCTATTAAATGCGTTGAATAGACCGAAAATTCAATGAAAATGTGAAAACTCATGAAATGCAGAAAAAAAATGTAAACTGAATCATTTATCAAAAACAAAACAACAAAAAACATGAGAAAATATGGATGAAAATTTCAATTGGGTTCGTTCGGTGTCTATGATAGAAGTGAAAGGTGAACACGAATAGTTTTTGAAAATTAGCAGAACCGAAAATGCATCTTGTCATTCTTTTCATCTATGCAAGATCACCATTGGCCACGCAATATAAGAATCATCAATAGGCACAGTGCTGCAGTCTGAGCGGTTTGAAAAGCAACACAGGCAGGAAAGAGTGTATGTGCATGAAAAGTGCAATGTAATTGTGGAATAATTTATAATTTTGCTTTTTGTTTTGTTGAGCCAAAAGCGGAGAGAAAAGAAGCCGAAGGAAAGGAAACATGCAAATACGATGGATTGAATGCATACCGGTGATTTGAGATGGTCACTGTTTCCAATGTAACGGAACGATGAAAGAAATGCTGTGCTCTTTGTGCACAGCCGACATCGTTGTATTTTCTTTTTAGTTATCGTTGATTTTGTTGGCGAGATCGAATTGCCAAGTGAAATGGATTAAAAAGCCATTTTGATTGTTTCTGCGCGCATTGTACACATCAAAGCATCATAATCGCATTGCATCGGAATTTTTTTTCTTCTGTCTTCTCATTTTTGCACAGATACAAGCATTTATTTAATAGGTGAATAAAACACCAAAATAACAAACTCCAAAACCATTTCGGATCCATCTTAGTCTTAATGTTTTTCGATCAATTTGAACAACTATTTCGTCTACATCAGATTACATAAGTGTGGATAAGTTCATTCCATTAGTCATATGTGTGGTTGTGTTGTTTTTCCTCTCCTCTTTCTCATTTGATGCCTTCAACATGTCAAATAGCGTCAACTTTATCCATCGCATACAAGTGTGTCGTTGTACCGTTCGAAGGAAACTCAAATCGAACATCGAATAGCAACGAGAAGAGAAGAAAGTAAAAAGACACAGAGAGAGAGAGAGAGAGAGAGAGAGAGATGAAAAACATTGTAATTCTCGAAGCCATCGAAGAGATATTCGATTTTCAAATCAGCAATCTTGATCGCGCGATCACAATCGAAGTCAGTCAGTCTTGTCTCAACATCATGGATATCAAGTTGACGAGCACAACACAATGCATTTCTTTTGAATCGAACAACAACAACAACCAACATCGATCACAACTACAGAAGAAGAAATATCACACACCGACATGCCGCCAGCAAACCTCAAAGTGTATTTCAATTCATCTGACGCCTTTTGTTCTGCACTTGTTATTTTTCTGCTTCTCGCCTTGATTCCTTTTGACTGTCGTCATATACTCCTATCATAACAGATTTGAGTACACTCACTCTTTTGATTTGCACCTTTTCCATTCTTTTCTTCTTTTTTTCTACTTCTTCATTTGTATGTCTTTCCGTCTTTCCGATCGTTTCGAATGGTGGGTAATTTTCCCCGTAAATGCTCAATGAATTTGGCCACAATGTGCAAAAGACAAGATGAAAGACTGCATACCGAACTGAGCTGAACGCAAATGCAAATTAATGATAAAACGACGTGTGTTTCATACTCATTTTTTTTCTCGTGCACAATGCATGTGATTGACCGACCGCTGGCTTTTGTGGTTGCAAATATACACATGCGTGCAAAAAAAAAAGACTTACACACAATGCATTCCTTTTGTACTTCTCTTTGTATGTGAGTGTGTTGCCTGTGCAAAAGGGTTGAATGCAGTAAACGATCGACTGAGTCAACGTTTTTGACTTCAAAGCACCGAAGTCGGGTTTTCTTGAATTTTTCTCCAGTTTTTGATAGCAACTGACACACACACACACAAAAAGAAACACCTCGTCGAATCCTCTCGTAATGGAATGCTTTTATCACCGAATGCATTATTGATATTTCGATTGAAAGCACCGTTTGGAATTGAATTTTTAGTGGATCTCTCTCTCTCTCTCTTGCTCCATGAAATGAACACATCGAATCGATGCACAAGCACATGTATGATGAACTTTCCACCTTTTCTTCTTTCGTGCACGTCTCGCCGTTGTCTGTTTTTCAGTTCAGTTTCGGCTGTGTGTTTTGTTCAGCGTACGCCCGAACGCCACAATAAAACATCGACCATTAAATCATTTCGTGTATTCCATTTCAATATTCACATTTTTCTTCGTTCGTTATTTTACTTCAATTATTTCCATTTCACGTTTTCAATTTTTAATTTTGTTTCTTTTTTGTGTGTTTGTAAAATCCATGAATGCAAACACGTACGAAACGATATATGTGGCGCAGGCAATGGCGTCGCCGTCGCCGACGTCAGAATGCACTCACACGAATACCAAAATCACAATAAATATCACAGCTGAACAAGGAACCGACGCAATAAATGTAAATTTCGAAGAAATCTCACAATGTACTAGTGGATCTTGGTCGAAAACTATCGATTTGGCCAAGCATTTCCTGATCGATTCTTCGGCATTTGCCACTATGTTTGTGAAAAGGGACATATTTCAATCTACTTACATCAAAAGTGCATTCGTTCATTCGAAGAAATACGACCTTGCTACGATTCCATAACTTAATCTTCTTCAACGACTTGCAGAAGTAGATCCGAAAGCTGTAAATCATATGGAAAGTTTATTGCATTGTCACCTCATTGGCGTGACTCGGTCTGCGCAAATTAATATGGCCAATAAAATTAAGAACAATTGAATCAACGAGTGAAATGGACAACGAGACTGTGGAAAGTGTCAAAGTCTGGTAGCTGATTTTATTCTATGAGCAATACTCTATACCTCCGCTGTGAGTGTAGAATATGTGTCATGTCATCATTATTGTTCTATTCCCGATGAAACTATAATCATACTATCAAAACAATGATTGCAACTCTCGACAGATTCGCTCTCTAGAGCGATCTGGTGCCGTTATGACATTCACATTTTGAGGCACCTAACTGAATTGCATGAAATCAATTTTGAAAACGATTTTATTTCAATGTTGTGGTCATCGCAAAGTTCATTGTTTTCTCAAAATAAATAAAAATAGATCAGGCAAATGTTTTTTTTTTTATAGAAGCGTCTCGTACCGATTGAGAATTTCACTATATCACGGTGTTGGTAAGTTTGAAACATTTCAAAATGACGTGGCTAAAATGCAGACAGCTCAACTCATATATGCGTTGCGTACAATCATGAGTATCATTACCCGCTGGAATTATGAGCAGTTGAATGACAATTACGGCAATATAAATACCGTTTTGGGTACAATTAATCGGCAAATACTCATAATTGCCCAGTTTCATTGAAGGAATGATTTCTTTTTCGCTTATTAGTTCAAATATTATTTGCAAAAGCGATTGCGAATCCTCAAATTGGCCATTCGTAGCATCAGCATAGTTTGTGTTCAGTTTTAAAAGTTCAATTAGAAAAACTTGGACTAAATAAAATGGCCGAAAGCAAGGCGTTGTTTCGTCTAGATATAAATTAATATCGCATTGAACAAGCCTTATTTCCGTGAATATTTTCGTTCGATATTATGTTCGAAATTCCGTGTTGTTCGTGGGTTGGGTTCGAAAAGTTCGTGTTATGTAAATGTATCAATAATTGTTTATTTTTTTCTGTGTCTGTGGATTTTTTTTTTTTGATTAATCGTAATTTTTACCGTGAGCAAGCAAACAGACACGTTTCCCTACTACACACAACACTGAAATGAACGCAATGCGGCGGTCGCGAGCGCGAACGCGCCTCCGGTATTTGTATTCTGAAAAGGAAATAATATTGAACGTAAATTGCCTAGAAAATGTTTTCGGTCATAATTGGAAAAACGATGTCTGGCCGGAAAGTGGGTTCAGTAAGCAATCAATGACTATCGAAATCGAACCAACGTCCAATAGAATAAACACGTTGCTGGGTGTATGATTTGGATCGAAGGTGTGCAGTTTTATTTACTGTTCATTTGAACTTTTTCATGCGATAGTTAGTAATAACGCGTCACCCTTCACTTCGTGGTAGTTGGGCACAGCAAACAAATTGTGTATTTATCACTTTGAACTTTGGCTCAACCAATTGCAATAAAGCCAAAACATATTCCGTTTACATAAACAGATCGGACATATTATTTCCGCTTTGAAGTCGATTTTCAGCTTAAGCCTTGGATTTTAACAAAAAAAAAAATTCCTCAAAGGAAGTAACACTTAGTCGCATTGTTCTTTCAAGTCAAACGAAACAAGGTATGAAAGAGACAAAAAGTACGTGCTTTACGTACGAAGTCCTGCGTTACGCTTTGTGGTTTTTCCACCTTTCAATTCAGAATTTTTTTTTAAGTATAAATTGTTTACATTTGCATCATCTGGCTTAAACTAATATTTAAGTTAGTAGCCACTAAGAAGAAACTCGGAATCTTAAGCACTTCAGGCATTTTTAACGCCTGAACTTACGCCTTGATGATTTGTCATCGCCTTTGTACACATTATTATTCTTTCGTTATCTGTTTTTCCTGTTTATCTTTGAGTTTAGGCCGAAAATGTGGTTCAACATCGATGTCAACTAAATAAATACAAAAAAAGAACAAAATACTTATTCATTTCCCATTGATTGGAAACATCATTTCGATTAGAAGCAATTTGGGACTTCTTTCGGTTGATTGATCACATGAGTTGATTCTTGCCCAATTAATTCAGTGTCAAAAAAATTCTTGTGATTGGATTTTTGATCTCAAGCAGGTAGAACTGTTGTAAATTGGAATACATACATCAAAATTTATTCAATTCGAATGCATAAGCATTGTGATATTTGCTCAATTTAATTAATTAAACAAATTCTCAGCCAAAGATTTTTCCAAGTACATCAATTCTAACGAAATATTCCGTTTGCTCCCTTTCCATTTCTTAGGTGAATACATCCAATTACCATTACAATTGGAAGAAATTTTGCAGGATGTTTTACAATTGGCCGATCTTGCGAATGAAAACGATCAAGTTGTAAGTAAAGATGACACCAATGAAATAAAGCGAATTTCAGGATTTAGGCGAACAGCAACGAAGCAAAAATGACTTTTTTCTTTCATGCTTATAGGATGAAATTTTAGCCGAAGAACTGAAAAAGAGTGAATATTCGGACGTAAACGGTGAATCGAGTAGTGCGGCCACTGCCAGTACATCGAATCAATTTGATACGAATTTTGCGTTTCCAACGGACAAAGTGCCAACACAAGACCAACAAAAAGACAATAAAGCAACGAATCAAAGTGAAATTCACAGCAGTGAATTGCCACTTTTGCTAGATCCTCCGTTGACCGAGGAAGAAATTTCCGCTGATTTAAGCGCAATAATTAATGAGGCAAGCGATTTAGACGAATTGGATATGATGATTCAATCAGCTGGTCCGTTTCAACATCCACGTTCGGTGGCTCAAAACTATGGCCATGCCAACGCCAATATGTACCATCGACAGCCGTCTTATCATTCGCATCACCATCATCAGGTAGGTTTCAACATTCCGAACAATTTCCATCGAATTATTCTTTATTGTTGCGCAAATAGATTGGTTTTTCTTGGGATCATTTTTCTCTTCTTCTTCTTCTCCGTATGAATTCCGCGTAAAAGGGAGCATATAAAAACATGTTGAAGAGTAGGATTTTCAGATTGTGTAGTGGCACTTGAATGTGTCCAGCTGGTCGAACGAATAACCGACCGAGATGATTATGTCAACAAATCTCAAGCGACAAGTGAGTGAGAGAGAGACAACAAAAAGGTGGCAAGTGGTATTTCTGACAAAATCCACTTGATGTGAATACTTTTCCATCAATACCCTTGTATTCCCATAAAATCTATCGTAAATAAACATGACAAGAAACCGGGGCTCTGTTGAAAATACACGTACTGGTGTGATTGAATGGACATTGTGAATCGGAGAACAGAAATTTGACTAATTTCTCCATCACAATTGATGGGATGATTTGTTATGCGCATTGACATATTTCTGTCGCTTATTCGAGGGTTGCGTTATCTTGATCACACACGAATAAGTACAAATTTTTGTCAAATTGATGAAACAAAATGTTTTCGATCGTTTTGAACTGGCCGCCATTAAGACCAATATCAAAACGCAGACAACGAACCAAGAACAAAAAGGCAATCGCATAATCTAATCAGCAAGTTTTCATGTTTTTTTTTCTCTTGTAAATGTCTTTACTGTTTAATTTGGGATTCCGGCATATATTTTTTCTCCTTTTCTCCATCGAAATGTTCATTCCATTAATTTTCGATCGATGTTTGCTACCTGTGTACACCCAATATCAGTTCGTTTCCATTGAATCCTCCGTACGATGCATCTTGCAGCTAGAGTTAACTAATTTCACCTTTTTCGTTGTTCGACCATCCTTTGAATTGCATTCTTCTCGAAACACTTGGTGTCATCCCATCGAACGAAAGAAAAAAAATGAAACATATTTAAAAAAAAAAAAAAAAAAAAAAATAAGAAACAACAAGCAGCAGCAGCAGTAAAAACAAACGGCCACAATAACAATGCAATCGATGTATGTAATAGATGTGCATGGCCTATGTTTTTTTCTACACTCTCTTTCTCGACAAACCAAAAACAGGTACAAACAGCTTTAGTTACCGAAAACCACAGGTAACCATAATTTGTGCGGCTGTAGAACAAACACTTTTGGTTCTCTCTTTTTTTTTCTCTTTCTCTTCCTTACGACGAAAATGCCACAGAATTGCTTCTTTCTTTCTACACTCATTAGTTTTCCTCCTCTTCACTTTGCCATGCCTTCACCAATTACGGGATTATCGATTTCTTTTGCTTTCATTTCGGCTATTTATATAAAAATGTGTCTGAAAGTCCGTATTTTCATCGGCCGGTAACATGTACAATCGAATGCATCGATTGAACAATTTCAAAAGAACGCCATCGCATTGCACAATCAATTTGATTCACTGTATTCCTTTTTTTCTAATTATCCTGATACGAAATGGGCGCGCGTGAAATTCCGCTTTTCGCCTTCTCTTTTTTTTTCAAAAAATAATTAACTAAGCCGTATCCCGTTGTCAACACGTCCTTTTTTTCCACAGAAGAAATGACTGCTGAGCTCCCAAGTATAAGAAAGAAATACGACCACTGTGCGTTAAGCAAGTGGTGGCAACTCCGAATTTTTTTCGAGAAATTGGATTAGAAGGCTTAAGTCAACTGAAGTGAATTCATTCGCTTTAATTGCACTTAAGGCAGTTTTAACAATTTTCATGCGTACAACAGCAGGATTTCGTTGGTTCGTTTTTTTCTTCTCTAGTTTCTTTGCAAGGAAATGCAGTCATTTTGGACTGAGTTACCGCAAAGCGATGACGCCATTTTCCTTTCGAAAAGACCAGGGTTTTTTTTGTCGAAGTTTAAACGTTTGTTTCCATTTTGTGTGTGAGAGCCAAGAATTGCTTTGTTCCAAAAATAATTACTTGAAAACACACCATTTGCCAAAGAAACGCAGATGGTCCTATTGTTCGCGAGCAGCTCGCTGTTTTGATCGACTGAAATCGATTTTTTTTTTCTCCACTGAAAATGCAAGACGCATCGTCCTAGCAACAAAAACCTTTTTTTCCATTCGCTCAAACGCAATTGAAAATATTTTTTAGTCGACAGTAGCTATTTTTTTCGTGTCGGCCACAAGCCTCTTCATCTATTTTTTTTTTTTTCGTTGAACAACTGTCACAACAACAATGCCGATTAAGTAAATAGCAATTGTTTTTCTATTGTTTTGTACATTTTTCCCATTGCAATCGCCACACAGAGTTCGCTACGTCTGACTGATTTCTATGCATAACATATTCATGTTACTATGAAATTCGAGCGAAGAGACCACAACAATAAAAAAAACACAAAAACTGAACAAATTCGTTGGAATAAATTTTATGTTTTAACATTTAATGATTACATTTTCTTCTCTCTCTCTCACTCACTCACTCTTTTTTGAATTGTGTATTGGATGAAACGGTCGAATATGAATAGTTCACAATTTTTTTTTCTTTTGGTTTGCCACGGAAATATGGTAAATTTTGCGTTGGCTGCTCTATTGTAAGTGTCATTCTATTATTCGAAAATGGGTTTGTGAACATATGGAATAAGATCGTTTGCTTCGATTATGTATTTTCAATTTTGTATACTCATCCAAATGAAATAGATAGGTGATGTGTGAACTGCGTAGATAATTTTGATCAATGGACGTTACAATTTGTTGAAGTAGAAAAAAAAGCCGGCACATCGATCGGGTGTTCTTACGTAATAGCAATCAGATGATCGAAAAGACAAAATATTTGTTTCGTAGCCTTTTGGATTTTCTTTATTGCTAGAGAATGTAACGGTTCTCGGCGCGGCAGACGAATAAAATAAAAATTCTTCAGTAGTCGTCAAAATCGGTTGAATTTTTTTCGCCTCAAGGGTTTGGCAGCGAGTGCAATTAAAATTCGTCTTTGACGTATGCTCCTCCATTCAAATTTTAGCCAATAATAATGAAAGAAAACTTATTATTGCACTTAATAAGGGTAATTTGTTCAACGAAATAGGTGTACTATGCGCCTCGAGAAATTCATTGGATTGACTGTACGGTACGAAAAATATGAAGAAAAATAAATCGAAATATATAGAGACATTACATTGCGATGATCGAATGTTTTTTTTTTCGTGCTTGTGTCAAATGTACAATACAATGGATGTACAAAGACAGTTGCCATAAGATTAACGATCGATCAGCGATTCAGTGTGGTGTACGTAATAGCCGAAGTAAATTACACATGGTAATGAAGCAATACATTGGCCCGACCAAAACGATTAGTATTATTATATTTTTTCGGTGTTATTTGGCAACGTATATAGGTACACGACGTTTGTTGATTAAGAGATTTTAATACTCTGTTGCTCTCAATTGCACTTTTGCATTATGTTGATCGCGTGTCATAGCCTCTGTACCATATCTCAATTGATCGATGCCCAGTCTCAAAATCAAGACTCTCAATAAATAGATTCGATCGTCTGTGCTTGGTTGCTTTTCTTTCGTTCGGGAATTTCCGAGACAGAGACCAAAATAGAAAGAGAGTAAGCGAGATAGAGCAATAAAAAGTGATTCCGACGATACTTTTTTTTTATTGTTTAGTTCACTTTGACGACTTTTCCTCGTGATTGTTTGCCCATTGTTCCGCTGTCTGCTCGATCAGTGTACATTGTACACGATTTGTACTTTGCGGATAATGTGGAACTACGCGTGTTTGTACATAATACAATGCTTAACGGTTCGATTCACATATTATTCCGGAAAACACATCAAACATATCTAGCCGAAATAAAACAAAACTAATGTCCAGCAATTATTCACGTTCCAACCATTACGCCGTCGAAACGCACAAGTACATTTTCTAATTCGGCTACTTCGTTCGGTGTACTCTTCGAGCGTCTGTTTCTGATGTGTATTCTTTTCAATGTGCTCATCTTGCGATCGAGCATTTGGTTTTTGTATCTTCTTCTTCTTCTTCTTCTTTTCCACAATTGAGAGCCGCCGCATTCAATTGTAATCGCTCAGTTTAATTAAATTAAGCACTGAATTACTGACGACTGGCCCAAGTCGAAACATAATCATTTGTGTGCATGCATAAATTAATCGAATAGCTCAACAAAAGTGTGATTTTGTACACAGCGTTGAAGAACGAGTCGACGACCAATGACAGAAAATGGTTTCGGGCTAAACGATTCTGTTGATTGACTACGCTTCAATTCGATGGGCATGCATTTTGACGATTTGTCGTTGCCATTGATCCGACGTCAGCCACCAGAATACTTAATTTTCATTGAGACATTTAGCATTTAACTCTCACTCATCGACACGCAGCATGGATCACCTAGTTTTCTTTGAGCGACGTGAATCGCCCTCGAATTTTTTTTCGCCTCTCCTCGGCTTGCCAATAGAAAATTGCATTTACTAATAGCGTTTGCTAATTTCATGCGGTTTTTCATTATTTTTAACGTGAAATTTCCAAACATGTGTTTTAAGATCGCTGAGCATCTCAGCATTTCGTAAGGCACGGATATATCCGAGCATATCGACGACGCATACTGTATAATACAGTGGCGTGTGTTGCTACGTGCAGCCGCAACGACTCGACCGAAGTGTGTTCAGTTGATGTGGCTGCACGCAGCAACAACATACACATTCCGGTCGAGTCGTTGCGGCTGCGCGTAGCAACGCACGCCACTGTATGCGTCGTCGATATGCTCGGATATATCCGTGCCTTACGAAATGCTGAGATGCTCAGCAATCTTAAAACACATGTTTGGAAATTTCACGACATCTGCTCATTCCAAATGGTTTGTAACCTTTGAAAAAAAGTTGTTCGAAAAAAAAATAAACGGTGTTTTTAATCGCACGGTGTCTCACGCATTCGGTGCGAACCAGCAAAAAGTGTTTTCAAAATATTTGGGCGCCTCACCTTTCAATC